CTCGACGAAAGCAATCAATTGCAGCAGCTGGTTGCTGTCTGCACCGAGAGGGAAGCGTTGGAGGAAAATGAAAGAAACACCCAAACTGCTCGAATTTTGTTCGAAAAACTTGAACGCCGAGGAATTTTTGCGTTTAGTCGCCTTGATTTCTTGAAATGGATTTTATCGGGAATTGAGAGACAAGATCTGGTGAAGAAAGTTCAGGGTTTCGAGAAGCGACGAATTGATGAGGATGAATTTGAAAGAAGGAAAGGTAACGATTATTTAGTCCTCTGCAATTCTCATTTTGCCGATTTTTTTGCGGGAAAGTATCTAAGAGTCTTTGCTCAAATAGCGTCCATCGAGTGACTATAATATGCTGTATTGATCAGAAATCAACATTTAAATCCAACTCTGTCAGTTTATTATAATTCTCCTGCCTAATTTGTCATTGAATCTAACAATGTGCTTTTGAATCTTACAATTTAAGCCCAAGCCGGTAGCATTGTCGCTGCAGCCAGGGTTGTTGGTGGAAGAGTAATCGGAGGTGAGTTAAAATTGGTGTGATTCAATTGTTGAGCATTAGAAAGGAAGAGTTCCAAACTCCATAAACAAACCAAAGTTCTGAAGCACTCTAAACCAGTAATGTATTTCCGACGATCTACCATAAAATTATTTTACGGAGATATCAGAAAGTGTGGGTATCTAGCGTATTCGTTAGCATGCTCGCGTTTGTGGGTTATACGCTCGAAGTTGTTTCCAATTTGTGCGATCATTGAATCCGAGACGTGCCCCCAAAATTCGCCAGCAAGGAAATTACAGGGCGTGAAATTAATTTTTTTTCTGATAGCCACTTGGCTCCTAAATTCTTCAAAGTGGTAGCCAATTCAAAAAAAATAATTGGTCGCCATTTTCAAAGACAAAAAAAACTTTTTTTAGGCTGTTAGCGTTTGAGATAGATCCTCCAAAATTAAGTTAGGGAAAAGTCTTTAACATGTTAGAAAGTGGACACTAGGATGGATGATATACAACGCTCAAGCTCACCTAAATCCAAAATGGCGTCTAGTTATCGATCTAGCTGCATGTGCTGCGTTTTGGAAACAAACTTAACGAGGAAGTTTGCCGCGGATTTATCGCTGCAAATCTTTTTAATTCTCTATATCTCTTGGTAAGCTTATGATGAAACATTCTAGTCGCCAATTTGGCTACTAATTTTCAGGATTTGGTCGCCAAAGTGAAAAATTTAGTCGCATTGGCGCCTGTATCAGGCGCAATTTCACGCCCTGAATTGACAAGACGGATAAGTAATATGTTTTAAAGTTTTTACAGGAGCGTCCATCAACAAACACCAGTTGTTTATTGTCCACCTAAAATTTAGGTATGATGTAAGCGAAGCATTTTATTGATGGATGTTTTTCTTCTGGTGCAAAGTTGTTGTGAGACGGTTATAATCCCTTAAGTTTATTTGCTCGCTTCTGATTGGTCCATGCGCATCACGTAGTTGGCTGAAAGCTAAAGAATACCATTCGAGCGAGATTTCTAAGATTCCACAGCCATATTCTCCAAAAATGAAACCATAGGTAAACCATGTTCGGATAAAGGGATAAGTTTCTAAAGAAACTGTGGTGCTGCGTCGGTGGGAGAGTATAGCAGGTAATTTAGTGTTAACAACTGGGTTGAAGACGTAAATTAGCCACCGTAAAGAGTAAAAAAGCTGACGTTTCGAGCGTTAGCCCTTCGTCATCGCTGCTGACGAAGGGCTAACGCTCGAAACGTCAGCTTTTTTTACTCTTTACGGTGGCTAATTTACGTTTTCAACCAGGTTGTTAACACTAAATTACCTGCCATGTTCGGATAGTCTGCTTCTTAGAAAACATAAACAGACAGACACTTATTCGGACATCATTTGCATCGGACTACGATTAATTTGGTTTAACGTTGTGATCAGGTTGTCATGGAAGGTATGTTTTCTCGTAAATCGCAAAAATGAAAAAGTAATCAGATTAAAACAATGCAAAACAAAATCCCTCCATGTTGGACAGTCATATTCCCACACCTCTCACTTTTTTTCCAATTTTTTTACCACCAAAAGTGATTGAAATATCAACATTCAAAATTAAATTTAGTGCTATTCGTTTTAGTACTGAACATGAAGACAGTGTGTGGAGTGGCAGCAGCGGGAATAACCTTACTCACTGTCCATGAGATTTTGACTCGCTGGCCAACTTATGACCAGTTAGTCACCAGCTTCCAGAAATGTGTGCTTCCTGCTGGTTCAAGATTGATTGAAGTGGGTCAAGGGTGCGTATGCTTTACAATTCAGGTCGACAATCTCATGGGGCTCACTGCTTTGTGGAACATGTACGAGGATGGTACGCTCAAGGAACGTTTAGTCGACTTTTTTGTGACTGATGAAATGAAGACCCGTGCCGGTGGTGAAGAGAATGTGGAATTGACTGTGACGATTGAAAAAGAAGAATATGAGAAAGTTTACTTTGAGCTTGTTCAAGAAGCTGACGGTGAGTAATTTTATTTGAAGATGTAGCGAACTGAATTTGAAGAGTGCAGAAGGATGTTAATTAAAACAAAGACGTTTGTCGATACATGTTTAAAGTAAAAAAAGCTGGGGATTTTTTTCATTCTGCATCTTTTATACGTTCGCAGGTCGATCTCTTCCGAGGTCATTGCTTCAGTAGCGAAGTTAAAAAAAAAAAAAAAAGTGGTGTATGGAGTGCTCTATTTTGTCTCAATCCGTAAACAACTTTTTTGTCAAATTTTGCTTTATAGATTAACAGTAATATATCATAGGTTATTAAAAAGCGAAGGAAAGCCTATCTCTTGGACTAGTCAATTGCGATAAATATCCTCTTTGAAGCTGAAGCAGTGCATGCATGAGCAATCTACGCACTTGCAATCTTCTTCATTTTGATTTGCCAACTTGGGTTAGTCAATCTCATTGGCTTATT